AAATTGCTAACGGCTATAGGATTTCCTTTTGGAACACTGAAAATGTTCCGAAGTTATTTGTTGTAGCAGTTGTATGACTTTATAAATACAACCAAATGGAAGGAGCTGTATACTTTAAAAGAGCTTTTCTGTTGTGCTTTCTACTGCTGCGATGATAAAAAAGAAAAAAGCAAGGTATAATGGCACACACCCTAGATCCCAGCACCTAGGAGCCAGAGGCAGGAGAATCTCTGTAAAATGTTTATCTTACCTTCCAGTTTATAGCCCAGTGGTTCTCAACCTGTGGGCCACGACCACTTTGACAAAGTTCTATTGTCATGACAGTAGCAAAATTACAGTTAGGAAATGGCAACAAGCCGGGCAGTGGTGGCGCACGCCTTAAATCCCGTCATTTGGGAGGCAGAGGCAGGTGGATTTCTGAGTTCGAGGCCAGCCTGGTCTACAGAGTGAGTTCCAGGACAGCCAGGACTACACAGAGAAACCCTGTCTCGAAAAAACCAAAAACCAAAAAAAAAAAAAAAAAAAAAAAAAGGAAATCCCCCACAACATGAGCAAATGTATTAAAGGGCTGAAGCCTTAGGAAGTTTGAGACCCACGGCTACAGGCCATCACTGAGACAAGTCAGGACAGGATCTGAAGAGGCCGTGGTGGAGTGCTGCCTACTGGCTTACTCAGCTTGCTTTAAAAAAAAAAAGCAATTCAGGACCATCTGCCTAGGGGTGGTACTGACCAGAGTAGGTGGGTGGGGCCTTCCCACATCCACCACTAATCAAGAAAATGCTTCAGAACCAGCCTATCTGATGAAGACAATTCTCTTCACTGAGGTTCCCTCGTTCCAGACAGATGACTCTGGATCATCACAGAGCTCTGTAATCCATGGATCAAATGTGGATCACTGTCTCTTTAAAAGTCTGGGGCTGGAGTGAGGGCTCAGTGGCTAAGAGCACTGGCTGTCCTTCCAGAGGACATGGGTCCAATGCCCAGCACATGATGGCTCACAACTGTAGCTCCAGTTCCAGAGGTGGGTGCAACATCTTCTTCTGGGCATTGTGGGCAATGTATACCTATGGTACACTGACACACATGCAGGGAAAGCACCCATACACATAAAAGATAAAAACCAAACCAAAGAAGTCTGGAAGCAGTCAAAGCATACACCAGAAGCCCATGACTCACACTTTGGAATTGAGACAGAAATTAATAGTAAAGGTATTCACTTATAAGAAACTGTCCAATTTGGATAAAAACAATTTATATACTTTATTATATAGTATATATTTATATTTAGTCATTGAAAATGCATATGAAAATACTTATTTTAGCCAGGTCAAATTACATGCTTCATGTGGTGTTACATATTAATGACACACAACCCAATATAGTAATCTATATTTACTCTATAATAAAAACCATAATTAAGACAATAAAAGTTGGGGCTGAGGGCGTAGCTCCTTGGTAGAGTACATGCACAAAGTCCTTGGCTGGATCCCCAGCACCACATAACATGGTGTGACGCTGCATGCCTGTGACTCCAGAGGTGGAGACAGAAGGAGCAGAGAGAGTCAAGTCATTCTCCACTCTGTGGTGAGTTCAAGGCCTGCCTAGGATTCCTGAGACCCTTCTCCAAAAATGTAGACGAAAGAGCTCTCGACAACCCACAATGAAAGCATTCTTATTTCATTCACTGGATGAGGAAATAGAAATAACATAGCTAAAAAGGTGGCTAAGAAAAGATTAAAACTTACACAAGTTGGCTTTAGAGTTTAACTACTTAGCCAGTATACTGGCTCTCAGTCATTGTGCTGATTTGAGAGAAACTGGCCACCACAGGCTCAATAGGAAGTAGCACTATTAAGAGGTGTGGCCTTGTTGGAATGGGTGGCTTTGTTGGAGGAAGTGAGTCATTAGGGGGGTGGGCTTTAAATTCTCAAATGCTTAAGGCAGGCCAGTGCAGCATTTACATCCAGCCTGCCAACCTGGATGCAGAGCTCAGCCCCTTCTCTTGCGCCATGTCTGCCTACATGCTGCCATGCTTCCCTCCACGAAGGTAATGGACTCTCAAACCATAAGCTGGCTCCAGTTAAATCTTCTCCTTTATAAGAGATGTAATGCTGCACTGGCCTGGCTTAAGCATTTGAGAATTTAAAGCCCATCTCCCTAGTGACTCACTTCCTCCAACAAAGTCACCCATTCCAACAAGGCCACACCTCTTAATAGTGCTACTTCCTATTGAGCCTATGGTGGCCATAGGTATATGGTGGTCATGGGAGTCTCTGCACAGCAATTAAGACAGTTATTAGAGGAAGCACACCAAACACTGTTCAGTATGCTCTAAGAAGAATGGAAAATGCAGCTTCCATTTCATTATAAAAAAAAAAAAATGCTCTTAGGGCCGACAAGTTGGCTCAGCAGGTAACGAAAGACACTTGCCACAAGCTTCCTGGCTTGCTGCCTAGCCTGATGCCCTCAGCTCAATCCCTAGAGTCCACCTGGTGGAAGGAGAGAGCCAACTCCAGCAAAACGTTCTCCAGTCTACACACAGACACACACTACATATGCGTGCTTGCATGTGAACCTGCACGGACACATAAGAATAAATGCATTTAAAATTTTTTAATGTATTTGGATGTGTACAATGGCATGCTTATGTTTTCAGTTTCTCAGGGAAGGGAGACAGAAGGACCGTGTGAGCCCCAGAATCTGGAGCAGCCTGAACAAACAACAGGAGCCTGACTTGGCCCCAATATATATCTAATTGCTCCTTTTTTAAAGGTAGGAACCGTTGTAGACGACTGATTGTCTGCAAGAGGCAGTCTACAGTTAAACTGCTCCTCACACCCCGACTCCCTTGTGCTTCCCCTCATCCAACTCCTGTCATTCCTGTCATCTAACTCCTGCCAAACCAGACTTCCCACATTCTTTCAACACACAGTTGGCGGCAGGTTCTTACTAGCATGTTAAAGGCTGACTCCTCTGCCTACAGCAGTGGTTCTCAGCTTCCCAATGCTGTTCATGTTAGGATGACCCCCAAGGATAAAATCATTTTCATTGTTACTCAGTCACTGTAATTTTACTACTGTTATGAATCCTAATGTAAGTATCTGATATGCAGGATATCTGATCTATGACCCCTGTGAAAGGGTCGTTCAACACTCCAGAGGGGTAGTGAGCCACAGGTTAGGAACCACTGGCCTAGACTATTCCTACTCATCCTTCAAAATCTAGTTCAGATTAACATTTTCTGTCTCACCTCTGATGCAATCCAAAGGCAAAAACTACATTACATATCTCTATTAAATCCTTGACATATTACATTGTATTTCAATGTATACTTTCTTCTTACCTGCTAAAATTAGAGAGAAACTAAGTTTATAAGAGCTGGCAAATAAATTTTTTTAAGTTTTGCTACTTAATGACTTAGGTTGATTTTTAAATCAAACTACAATATTCTAGTCACACTAGTGATGGAAAAAGAAACAAAAACCAATATAAAACGATTGAGCAGAGATTGAACCCAGGCCCTTGTGCATGCTGTAAGAGTGATCTACCACTTAAAGTCTTATGTGTATGCACGTACATTATAACTGGGGCCTATTCCCCGCACATTAGTGTGTGTGAGAGTGTGTGTGTGTCTGTGCACGAATGTGTGTACCCAGGGTCTGTCACTGAACCTTTAAATTGGCCTGGCTGTGAGCCCCTGGGTTCTTTCTGCTTCTACCACCCTCCAGCACTCAAGTTTTTGTTTTGTTTTTCATGACAGGGTTTCTCTGTGTAGCCCTGGCTGTCTTGGAACTCACTCTATAGACCAGGCTGGCCTTGAACTCAGAGATCCACCTGCCTCTCCCTCCCAAGTGCTGGGATTAAAGGTGTGCACTATAGTGTCTAGCCAGCACTAAAGTTTTTACTCCCTGAGCTATCTCTCCTGTCCTTATGATTTTAACATAAGAAGTCTAAACATTTAGTAGGAATAAAACACATCTGCATATAAACCAAAAGGCAGGTTTTTATGGACTGAACTTAGTCACCAGAAACCTTCTAAAGAGAAAAGACTGATGTTCTGCATTATACCTGATTAATCTGTTACGGTAAATGTAAAAGTGATATGAAAAAAATTTTTAATAAGATGGAATTGCCAAATCTAAGCCAACAAAGCCAAAAGAGTAGGAAACTACAGGGAACCCATTCAGGTCATTAAGGGAACCATGCATAGTGCCTGATGCCTTTAGAAATTCAAGCACTCCTCAGGAAGAAGTTACTGTATCCACTTTGTGAGAGGCTGAGCCAGAAGAGCAGAGGTAGGCCTATCTTTTCTGTTTACAACAGGCAAGCTAGTAACATGCGCTGTAAGCTAACTGTATTCCATGACAGGGCAGTTACTGAGCATGCAGGCCCTGGGTCCATCCCCAAAACACGCTCGCACACGCACGCACACACAAACACACACACACTTAAAAACAAAAAGGATCAAGCACTAGCCGTTTTACTCTTATCTGACACTTTCGAGTTATCAAGTTGCTGCGGCTTCTGCAAAGATTGGATCTTTTCTCCTCAACCTCAGCTCAGCCTCTCTCAAAGGCCCATCTACCCACAAGTCTGTTATCGTTAGAGATTTCAAGGTCTACTGCCTGCAACCTTTCTCAGGAGTGTAAATCACTCTTTCACAGATAAATCTACCTGACCCAGTGATGGTCAAAGGCCTACCAAGACCCTTTCTATCAACTGTTAGCTTTCTACTCCCATTGAAATAAAATTCAAGCCGGGCAGTGGTGGCATTTGCCTTTAATCCCAGCACTTGGGAGGCAGAGGCAGGCGGATTTCTGAGTTCGAGGCCAGCCTGGTCTACAGAGTGAGTTCCAGGACAGTCACGGCTACTCAGAGAAACCCTGTCTCGAAAAAAACAGAAATAAAAAATAAAATTCAAAGCAGCTCAACTACTGCTAGCTTTCCCATTCTGACAGTCACAGACCTGAGTTAATATTTGTGTGGTATGTCTCCATTACCTAGGCTGGGAATTCTCCTCATACATTCTTTCTTTTCCCTCCTTGAAGAGGCTGATAGTCTGTTTTGTTTTCTTCATCAGGTTCTCCATGAACACCCTGAAATATTCATTTTCTCCAAGCGTCTCCATCTTCCCCTCATATCTTGACAAGACAGTGCGGAGATGCTGGTAGGTGTCAGGCAGCAGGTCTAGGATATATGGCGGGCTGTTCTTGAGTGCCAGCTTTGGATTTTGACACAACCGCACTACCTGCAACAAAGGGGAAAGAAAGACTGTTACTCAGGACCTTAAGGACAACGTTCCTTGTTACCTCATGAGCTATGAAATATGTGCTGCTTGCATAAATATGAAAGACACATGAGGACAAGGAATGACCTATAACCCAATGCCATAGGCAATTATTCTGTCCTCGTGGCCCTCCTACAAAGAGAGGGGCTTCCTGACTTACTTAAGTTATATGTGTGTGTGTGCATGGGTTGGAACACGTGCATGTGAGTGCAGGTGCCCACAGAATCCAGAAGAGAGCCAGGACTACAGTAATAGCCAGTTATGAGCCACTTTGCTGGACCAAACTTTTATGAATAAATCCACAATTCTCAGATTTTGCTTCTTTTTCCCATCTCTTACTTTCAAACTTTCTGAGATCTTATATTTTAAGTAGGTATGTCTCTTTTAAAACTAGATTTTGCTCATTTGTTTTTGGATTTTTTTTATCACTTTATTTTTATGTTATGTGTCTGGGTGTTTTGCTTGCACATATGTCTGTGTACAGTGTGTGTGACAGTACCCACGGAGGCCAGGAAGTCAGGTCCACTGGAACTGGAGTCACAGCCAACATATGGGTGCTGGGAATCAGACCCAGGTCCACCAGGGCAGCTCCTGCTTCTAACTCCTAAGTTTCCTCTTTAGCCCCTGCTTCTGCTTTTTTGATGTCTCTTGTAGCAGAGGCTATCCTCCTTGCCTTCATCTCTCAAGTGCCAGGATTACCTCAGTGTGCCACTAGACTCAAAATTAAATCTATACTATAAATACAACATAACAATCTTCTAAATGGTCGTCCATCTTCTACTTCTTACAAAAACTGGTTATCTGTATTTATTCCTACTGACTAGTCTATGCCAGTACTTCCTGTGTCTGGAAAAGACAATACTAGACAAAAAGTTCAGAAAGAGACCACACAGACATGGATTGTGCACAAATTGTCCATTTGTATCAAGGAAGTCTCATGTGTAAAAAAATAGAATTGGGCTGGAGAGATGGCTCAGTGGTTAAGAGTACTGACTGCTCTTCCAGAGGTCCTGAGTTCAAATCCCAGCAACCACATGGTGGCTCACAACCATCCGTAATGAGATTGGATGCCCTCTTCTGGTGTGTCTGAAGACAGCTACAGTGTACTCATCAATAAAATAAATAAATAAATATTTAAAAAAAAAATAGAATTGTTAGAATAATCGAGTATCCGTAATGGAATACTGAATAAGGAAGGCAAATCTAGAGAGCTTTATAGTACAGGAAAACTAGCTTCATGACTTCATGAGAGAAAAAAAAAAGGCTTTCCTTAAAAAGACTCATGAAAACGATAGACCATAAAGGAAAATATTATCTAAATTCTACTACTTCAAAAGTGGAGAGAGGCAAAGAAAAAGAAATAACTTCTGTTTAACAAGAAATTATAGCCGGGCGGTGGTGGCGCACGCCTTTAATCCCAGCATTTAGGAGGTAGAGGCAGGCGGATTTCTGAGTTCGAGGCCAGCCTGGTCTACAGAGTGAGTTCCAGGACAGCCAGGGCTATACAGAGAAACCCTGTCTCGAAAAACCAAAAAGAAAAAAAAGAAATTATAAAAAATCTGGGCGTGTTGGTACAAGTCTATAAATCCCAGCATGTAGGGCTTTGCTGGAGGAGGATCATGAGCAGTCAGCAGGCTCCAGAAGACCCTAACTAAAAAATAAACATGAAAGACATAAGAAAGACAACATACGAACAGTAACATCATTAAAAAGCCAGAAGATACCTCAGCATATACATATCCAGAGCATATATCCAAACAAATCTATGCAGGCTAGATAAACAACACCTACAGGTCATTAAGAAAGACCTCCAATATACAAGCCATCAAGACGTAAAACAGGAGCCTCACAAAAGATAGTATCAGTAACAAAAGACACAAGATGGTGCCCAACCACAATCTTCACCTTAGACTGAAAACCCTACAATCACAATCAGACAAATAACTAGCCATGTCACACAAATATTTAGCCATACCAACCAACGGCAAGAAAATGTAGCAAAAAGCACATTCTACCCAGAACAACCTAAACTGACACAAACAACATGGAAACAGCTCAGCAATACTGTCAGATTGAAACTTTCCATACTATGAGCTGGATATAGTGGTACTCTTTAATACCATCACCCAGGAGGTGACAGGCCCATTTCAGTGAGTTCCAGGCCAGCCCAGTCTACATAGTTAGTTCTAGGCCAGCAAGAAAGCGAAGAGACCTTGTTTCAAAACAAGCAAAAAAAAAAAAAAAAGTTTTTAATACATAAACTTTAGAAAGTTGTACACTATGAACACAAAGTTCCATGCCTAGAAAACTATACTAGGATACACATCAAGAATGTGCAGACTGCTGGGCAGTGGTGCCACACGCCTTTAATTCCAGCACTCAGGAGGCAAAAGTAGACAAATCTCTGTGAGTTCAAGGCCTGTCTGGTCTACAGAGAGAATTCCAGGACAGCAAGGGCTACATGGATAAACCCTGTCTGGAAAACACAAACAAACAAACAAAAAAGCCTGTAGAACAAGATCATCACAAAAACTGGAATAACCCACGTATCAATATAGAGCATGGGTGCTATCCTCATAACCACACGCATGTATTATAGATACGTACATTAGGGTGCATTTACTACAATAGCAATGAGAATACATTAGCCTAACTGCATCATGAATGCCTCTCTCTTTTTTTTCTTCTTCTTTTTTTCTTTGTTTTTTCGAGACAGGGTTTCTCTGTGTAGTCCTGGCTGTCCTGGAACTCACTCTGTAGACCAGGCTGGCCTCGAACTCAGAAACCTCCTGCCTCTGTCTCCCAAGTGCTAGGATTAAAGACGTGCGCCACCACCGTCTGGCATTTTGTGTTTTTTTTTTTTCTTCAAATACCTCTCTCAAAATTAGTCTAAACAAGAAAAACACACATGAAGACGAAGTGGAAACTTCTAGTTTGAAAGCCAGTTATGTCAAATGATGTTTTGCTGGGGCACACAAGTCGAAAGAAAGGGTGTTTTCCTGAAGCAGACACAGGGGAAAGGATGTTTGGCTACAGCAAACATGTGAAAGGACGCTTGACAAAGGAGTGTAAATATGACCACACAGTCGGTGGGAGACTGCTATTGAGCACTGGTTTGGTTTGGTTTGCTTCGCCTTGCTATTCTTCCCTAACAACACATATGTACTGGTTCCCCTTACATAGGGTTGTTGATCTCTACTAGTGGTGACGCCTGAGAGAAACTTGCAGAAGAACTGCTCATGAGGTTCCTGTGACAGCTTGCTGCTTTCACGTCCTTACCTCAGGCTGGTTGGTGAGCCTTTCGGTTTCTTCAGGATTGAACTACAGCTGCTAGTTCGTGCATGGTGTCTGCCTGCCTAGAGGGCTAGACTGAAGCTGCTGAGTCATATTTGGTGTTTGTTACTGACTGAAATGCTGCCAAAGAGGATCGAGCTCACCCCCAAAGAACTATTGCTGAACAGGTCCACTTCCCCCATATCTTGATAACTTTTCTCTTCCACTACCTCTGCTGAGTGGTAGACTAGAGAAGAGGTTGAACCCTTATTAAAAGTAGATTGCAAAAAATTTATGCCTACAGAAGATGTCATAATGAAACCCATTCTGCTAAAAACAACAAAGAAAATATATACACTACACCTACATATACATGTACACATGCATATAATACATATGCATATATATATGATCACATTAATATCCAAAGAATGGCCATCTAGCTGGGCAGTGGTGGTGCACACTTCTAATCCCAGCACTTGGGAGGCAGAGGCAGGTGGATTTCTGAGTTCGAGGCCAGCCTGGTCTACAGAGTGACAGAGTGAGTTCCAGGATAGCCAGGGCTACACAGAGAAACCCTGTCTTGAAAAACCAAAAACAAAACAAAACAAAAAAAGAATGGCCATCTAGAGCCTACAGGGCTGCTCTGTGAGTGACGGCGCTTGACATGGAGCCTGACAACTAAGTTCCATCCCCAGAGTACACATGGAAAGAGAACTAGTTCCCGTAGCATGTCTGCTGACCGTCACACAGGCAGTGTGGCATGTGCGTGCCTACACCCACACCTGCACACAATCACTGGTGGTCTGAATGAGAACTGCCCCTTACAAAGCCCAGGTATTTCAACACGTGGAGTCCCCAGTCAGTGGTGCTGTCTGGGGAGGTTTAGGAGGCGTACCCTTGCTAGAGAAATACATTACTGGGGTGTGCTTTGAGAGTATATCACTGTGCCCAACTTCCAGTTTGGTCTCTCTGCTTTCCATCTCTTATCTTATTCCTGCCACTTACTGTCATCTCTCTGCCCCACCCATGGTGAACTCTCATCCCTCTGGATCCGTAAGAAAAAATCCTCTCTTCTTTAAGTTGCCTTTGGTCATGGTATCACAGCAACAGAAAAGTACCATGAGTGTTCGTGTGTGTGTGTGTGTGTGTGTGTGTGTGTGTGTGTGTGTGTAGGTGTAGTTTAGACGGCCATATTGTTTTTTAATTATATTTTTATTTTAGTTACATGTGTATATGTTTGTGCTGATGTGCAGTTTAGAAGGCATGAGATCTCCTGGAGCTGGAGGTACAGAAGGGTGTGAGCCACCATGTGAGTACTTGGAACAGGACCCTGGTCCTCTGTAAAAACAAATGTTCTTAAAAACTGAAACAGCTCTCCAGCCCAAATTTTAAATTTTCAAAAATAAAAATCAACAAATGTAAGCTGGACAGCGGTGGCACATGCCATTAATCCCAGCCCTCAGGAGGCAGAGACAGGCAAGATCTCTGAACTGCAGGCCAGCCTGGAGTACAGAGCAAGATCCAGGACACAGTGAAACCCTGTCTCAAAAAACAAAAGCAAACAAAAATGTACTTTATGGATATGTAACTGTCCGTGAAAAGAAAGCCAATAATTGATTTTAAAAAACATTAAAAATATTAAACTATGTAAATATTAAAAATAATATTAATCCAGTAATTAATCC